ACACTGTATTTGGAAACTTTTCTGTCATTTATATTACATGACGCTAGTAGGAAAAGTGATGCATTTCATCACTTCATTTCGTTCATCATTGACTCGAGACTAAAACACAAATAAGGAGAAAAGTTTGTTTAGATACAAATAAGTGTCTATACTCGGAAAATGAAGTTATTAGTTAGTGTAGTTTTCAAATACTATTTGTCCAATTTTCCATCTTGAACGTTAAGTGAATTACTTACATTTAGATAGTTTTTTGAAGACTCTACAAGTTCAAGTCTAATTGATTCTGTTGTTCACTGGAATGTCATCACCAGCAAATAAGCTGTTATTCTTTGAGGAAATCAATGACTTTGATCATCTTCTTCATCATCGTCTTCAACTGAATGTGGCTTTCCAAGCTTCTCTTTTTGACCAGCCATATAGATACCCATAAATGCTTGAAAATGAACGCCATATATTTACAGTAGTCAACACAATTTACATGTTTCGGCTGAAAAGAAACTGATCTTACCTGGGTAAGGTTAGCTTTAGTTGACTCCATTTCTGCAAAGCCACATGTTTGTACATTAAAACGTTGAGAAGAATGATGTGCTTTTTCTGACATTCTTTGCGATATGCCTGAAGATAGAGCAAATGTCAGTTATCAGAGCTGTTAGCCACGACTGAAGTGTTGAAGGATGCCATGTTTTGAGAAATCTTTTTGCCCTTTCTCTTATCGCAAGCTGCTGGGGAATCTAAGATTTTCTTCCAATGTAGACGAAAACCATCAAGATTGTTAAGGACCGCATTGGATTGCTGGATTAAATGTTGCGCGAATCGAAAATCGTAGTGTGCAGAAATTAGTTTTATGTTTAAAATAAATGTCTCAAGTTTTTTGACAAGATCGCAAACCAGACGAACGGTTGAAAATTTCTACAGAAATATGTTGGATTTCCAAATCATCAATTCTGGAACAGATTCAATAAAGTCTTCCACGGCCAAGTCAGATCTGTGACACACACACCAGAAGTTAAATGTTTCTTAGCCAACATTCTCTTCTATTCAAGCACAAAACACCTGATTTCTGACGAATATTTGCGGACTCGCCGTCTGTAGTCAGACCTTAATATTTTGCCTTAATATTTGCACCATGTACCTAGTCCAAAATGTTTTAATAAAGAAACTACAGCATCTAACAAAACTTCGGCACCGCGTTTCTTGACCTGTTTAACACATACTAAACGTGTTTTAATGAAAGGAGGGTGCGTTTACGATTAAAACGAAGGAATACAAATTTTTCGTATGATCAGACCCATCCACCTGAGCCGCAAAACAACAGCAAGTTAGAAGTTCGCCTTTAAATTCTGTCGTTCGAGGTCACCTTTAACGCCAAGCATTTCAGCGTAGGGATTAGGATCACGGCAGTGCAAGTGGATTGCTTGAGGCTGAAAAAAAGACAATCAATCCTTTTCCACCTTCGGAATTATAACTGTATGATCAAATTGTTTTCCCACATTGATCGTGACGGCCAAGATCTGGCTGTATGTGTCAGCTCTTTGCTGTCAATATAGACATCAGCAGCCATGTGTGTAAGTGTCCGAATAATATTGGAATCGTAATTATTCAAGCCCATAAGCTCAAGTAATATGTTCATTTATTTATACTTTTTTGATCATCTTTATCTGGGATTCCTCTTGTGGTTCTGCCATCTCTTCGGCAACTTGATAAGTATATAGCTGTAAAAATACAAAGAGTTTTTGTCAATAGTTTGTATAGATAAGTGTACGATATGTAAAAATCTTTAAAGAACTATTGAAAAAACTTATGTTTTTTTAAGATTCGCGGCGAACAAGGCCGTTCAAGGAAAACTCCGCTCTATGTTTTTGTCTCTTTTTTGCATCTTCTTTGGCTTTTGTGACAATTTGTCGTCAAATTGCCAATTTGTCGTCAAATTGACAATTTGTCGTCAACAATGCAAAAAAAGATTGCAAAGGTTTAATATGCATTAAAATGAAACACTCACTCACCTTTTTAATAGAAAAAATAGCCTCTAAATGCTTACGTCCTGAGCACGACGTCAAATCACCCAATTTCACATCCTCAAATTCACAAAATCGCCGTCCTAATTGAACTTGACACCGGAAATTGAAGCACGCCATGCCACGCCATTTTCACGTTCTAGTTACTAAACTAAATATAAGTGGAAGGCTACCTTCTGATATATCGGGAACACACGAAATGAAGCCAAAACTCTGCGCGATCTGACTCGCAGACACGCGTGCTCAACTTTAGCTTTGCAAAAATTCGCGACGCGTGATTGACTGATTGTAACCCAAATAAAGAATGCATTCTGCAATGCTAAAGGGTAGAAAATTACTGGATTTTTTCTGTTGCACAGCCTTGTACTGAGTTATTAACACAGGAGATTGAAGTTTCCTGCCCACCAAGTAATTTTTTTGTACAGAAAACGTACAAATGCCGAAATTCTTGTGCTCGATTGTGTTTTTGTGTGAGTCTCATTAGTGGATAAACATTTTAAAGTGGTTATGCAGCGAATTTTTCTCTTTGTTTTTTATGAGCTTATTTTATAAATGCCTCTTTCATGATTAGAATTCTGAAAACAGTATTAAAATTGGCTTTTTCAAACTGTTTCTACATTCGCCTAAAGTTGCGATTTTTGTCAATTTTTGTGCAAACTTTTGACATTGGCGATGATAAAGATACGAGTACCGCCTTCCGACATGGCGTATAGCATTAATAGCGACGAGCAGCCATGCAGTGGAAAATGTTGTGTTGCTGGCAGTTTGAACAAAATCAGTGGCGATAATACTCCACAAAGTAAAACAATAGCTATCTATCTATCTCCTAGAAGAAGAAAAATTTTCAAGATGGATATGATATTTCATCCGTGATGTGATTCAGTTAGTACATTCTCTGGCAAAGTTAAAGTGAAATGTGCGAAGTTATTGTTGAAGGAAAAGACTTTCCAGCAGGCACTAGGAAAACTAGGCATGAAATACGAGCCTTCAGAAGACATTTTCAAAAAAGTAGAGAAGTTTGTTTGTCAACTATATTGTTAAGTAGATTGCATATGTGTAAAAGGTGCTCTTCGATGCTCTTCGGGTGCTCTTCGATCTGTTTTTATGTCATTCTCATCAGTGGTTAAACATCTTTTTACGTTAAACGTCTTTCGTTATTTTTACACAGAATCGGTTGCTTCAACGACATCCTGCCGTAAAAATATTGCTATAAATGAGCTGGACAAATTTACATCTTTCTGAAACTATTTTTTGTAAATTAATTTTCTTTAAAAACACTGAAATATTTTGTTTGGGCCGTGTTTATCAGAAGCGTAGAAAGACTGAGAACAATATTGTCGAGTTTGGCTTCAAACTTCAAGATGATGATAGACTTCCAGTTATATTTTGTTCAATGCTCTCGACTCACACAATCCATGATGGTCGCCAAAGGCTGAAAATATTTGCCACATATTGAGTTGATTTGAGACTTATTGTGCAGCTTTCAGACATGGCATACATTCAAAAAGTATTCAAAAATATATCGCCTTACTAGTATGTAAAACTCATATAGTTCCCCTAGGTGCGTATACAAAATAAATTTTTAGGCACACTTTTATCACTTGCCCATGGCCGATATATGTTTTTAATAAAGTGTAATATTTGTAAAACAATAATAAATAGCATCTGACAGTGTAGCTTTTAATTACTATTATGTTAATGAGATTCCAACTTTGCACATATCATAGCATAACAAAAACGTTAATTTCAGAAATACAGCCCACTCTATGTCATAATAATGTTGTATAAGCTTTGGAAATTGAGTAACCTAGCACATCTATTTTTTATTATCAACAGATAAATAATATGCGAACTATCGAAGACCACCCAATATATAAGAAACTTTGACATTAAACTTTTTCGCGGTTCTAAAACTAATATGGAACAAATTAAGTAGCCTAAATTCTAAAAAATATAATGTTTAATGAAATAATATGTTTCGAAACCATATATAGTTAAAACTTTAAAATTAAAAAACATGATATAGATGAAGTAAATGTAATATTATAATTTACTCATTCATAATTACGTATTCGCATACAGTTATACATAATATTTTCCATGTTATAATTGTTGTATGGTTTAGATTGATGTCACATGAAATTTTAAAGCTACATAAAAATCTTTTCCGCATCACTTTTGCAAAAAAATATCTTGAAGTTATAAAAGTTGGCTTTATTAAAGTTGGCTTTTTTAAGAAAAATGCATATCCTTGAGTGTTTAAAAAACATAAAGCAACTTAAAGAAATATGTATTCTTGTCATTTATGTTGAACAAAATACGAAAAGAAAACTTAAATATAGACGAAAATATAGAGAATCGTATAATCTGTTACAAAATTTGTTGAAATTTTGTAAGACCCACCTGTCTTTAAAAACCTATGTGCTTACGGCTTTTTCATTATTACACACTTCAAGTTACTACAAGTAAAATTAAAAATAAAAGCAATATACACAATACTACTTATAACAAAAGTTATTAGTAGAAGCAACGCCAATTTTCAATCAAATTTTATTATTTGTGCAACTTCTCTTTTTTGTTTTGACAGAAGATAAAACTCAAAATACAGTCCGAAACAGTTTATAAGTAAAGTTGACATTTTTCTTTGCGTGAATATATTTGAATTGCTTAAAGTGTTTATAGGGGTAAAAAACATCTTTTAGTCATAAATTTTTGTTGTATATACATAGCTTTAAATGTATATGTTCATATAAAATAACAAATATACTGAATACTTTTTATGTAGTCGCGGTCATCTGCTTTTAGTTCAAAACTTTTGCGCGTGTAACTTTAAATAAATGTGACAAGAAGAGAAAATTTAATAACATATTACTGTTTAAACAAAATATATTAATAAAAGTGAACTTGTGACGTATAACTATCTAAACAAAATGTAAGACAAGTAAACAATTCATTTTGACGAATATTGCTTCGCTATAAAAGGGGTTTTATTATCTCATTAAACTTCACTAAACATCAGAGTCGCCAACTGTATGGAAGATTCGACAACTCTGCAAAAGTAAAAAATACATCATAAAGTTAACTTAACATTGGCAGGTAAGTAAGAATGAAAGATTTGCTGTAAATATAATAAATTCTCTAACTTTAATATTTTAATTTTTGTAACTTCGTTGTCACGTCCATACAACAAATCAAAAAATATCCATGATATTATCATTATGTTGCATGAAGACATGTAAATCATATATCGAAATACAGTTTACGCAACTATATTATTACTTATCAAAAAGATATAAAACTTATACATGTTTATCTCTAGGCAAAAGTTTACGTAATTATGCTCTGTTGGATTGCGGTGATCCAACTTTTGTATTTCCTTCCCATTTGCTCCAGCAACTACATCGTGGAAATCAAAGGTCATCTAGCAAGGATGCATTCTAATTACATTATAAGAAACATCAGTAGTTCCAACATTCACCATTGTCTGCATAACTGTATGGAAAATTGCTCGTGTTTATCATTTCAAATTTGTGGTACAGTTTGTCAACTACTTTCCACTACAATAACTGAAGGATCATTAAAAGAAGATGGCATTAGTCAATGTAATCATTTCACAATGCATATATCTGATATCAAGGTGAGTTTATAATAGTTGAAGATTCAACGAAAATGGAAAATCTTCATTATATTATATTAAAAGTCTTAAATTTCTCAGTGTAGTAAAATACTTATTTACTTAGCATGATTTGTTTATACAACGTCTTCATACTGAAAAACATATTAAACTTAGATTCTGAATAAATTACTAAATTTATTGGTTGCAGATAAAAGTAACTTAGTTACTTATAATTTATCGTACGCGCTGTTTCTGGAGACAATTAATATACCACAAAGTTTGGTGCATATCCTTATGTGTCTATTTATTTTTATCAAGATTTTTTACCAAAGATAAACTACAATAGCCAAAAGAAAGAAATTAGATTCTACTAAAATCCTGTCATATTACACTCGTTACATTTGTGGCGTAATAATTATATATGCAGATTTACGCTAAGATCGTCCTTGAACTATATTAAATATTAGTTTCAGCGCGTCCTAAGCTGTGTTTCCTGCTTTCCTTTGTCAAGTGAGGCCAGCAAAATATATATATTATTATGCACACCGCCTACCAACTTATTACGGTTCTAGTGACGGAATGGCATCGTGAAGAGTGCAACTTTGCATTGTCTCCTTGGCTAGGCCAACAATTGTCCCCATATGAAAAAATGTTTTATGCAGTGCGGTGTTTGAAATTAAATGAAGAAATGATCTTCGCACTTTGCTGGACAATTTAAGCAATTGTCTCATGAACCTGAAAAATGAAAACATGAGCCCGACAAAATTGACCGGTCAGATCACTGCACCGGCACCGCAGAGGTTAAGGGTTCGAGTCCCGTTGAGTCATCTGAAATTTCAGGTTCATGAGAGATCTGCTTAAATTATCCAGCAAAGTGCGAAGATCATATCTTCATTTAATAGCCCGTATATAAGGTATAATATGAGCACGCTGATAAGCTAGAAAGAAAGCTCTCAAGATGACAATTCTTTCAGTCTTTACAAAGGGAAATTTGGATGGACTTTCATTAAAATACATCAAAATATAACTTGTAAACAGTTGTAAACAGGAAGTACATTGTTTAAGATATAATTTGGTGGTAAGCTTGTTTTTTAGCCACATATATCGAAATTTATTGAACAAAGAACTAATCGATACACACCGTCGTTAAAGAGTTTTCTAATATCTTTACAAAAAAAAACACTCTATTGGCGAAGGATTTAAAACGAAAAGTATAAGAAATTTCATGTATGTCTAGGTGGAAATTTTCAGATATATTGTTAAAAATCTGATCCTAAATAATTTTTTGTTACATGACATACAATTTTTTCGCGTTAGTAGACCCGGCACCGCGATAATTAAGGATAGATGTGGTGAGAAAACATTCATATAAATGTATGAGTTAAAAAAGATATTAAAAGGGCTTAAGTGATTAATCATCTTTGAATCAATAAGCTACAACTTAAACACTGAAATGCTTTTACAAAATCGGCAATTACGAAATAAAATCCTTTCCCTTCTTCTTCTTGCAAAAACAACGAAATTTACGAATGGTGAATTTGTTATTTGAACTTTAGCACTTTGGCATTATAGCAGGGTAATGTTAACCAAAATTTATTGCAGTAGATTTATCCTATCACTCTATTAATCCTATTTTATTCAGATCCCTAATTGGTTAACAAACATAACATTAACCAATTCTTTAGCAGAATCATCATGACAACAGCAATATCTATTAAGGCATGTTTCGACTAAAGTTATTATAGTCATCTTCAGAGCAATAAGCTACAACTTGTGGAGTAGAACTTCGCAAGGACAAAGAGTGAAAGATTTTTGTTTTGTCTTATTCGTTTACTCCTTAAGTAGGTTATAGCATTTCCTTTGCGTTTACTTTTTGTTTTGCATGCATGTCGCTTTATAATCCTTTTCAGGATTCACGTTTTATTTATCTGCTCATTACTTATGCCACCAAAATTAAATTCATTACTTGTTTATTGCTTTTTGTCACTGAGTTATCCACATTAGGTTTCTTTTTCAAGGAAAATGAAAGTTGCTGCAAAGAAACCTGCCAAACAATAATTGATTGTTGTCGAACGTCCAGTCATTGCAATAATAGAGGAAAATGTGAACTCAGTAAGCCATCAAGTAGAAGACGAGCTTCATGTAACTGTGATGACGGATATGTCGGAGATCGTTGTCAAACTATGGCAAGATCGTGCAGAAGTTATCGTGGTCAACAAAACGGACAATATAAAATATTTACTTCTGACGAGCAATTAATTACAGTTTACTGTCATTTTGATGGGCATCGCGCATGGACACTTGTCCAATCATTTAGTTTGGAAAATTCAATATACTACAAAAATAAAGTTTACTACAAAAATTTCCCCAGAAACGTAGCAAGCCCATGTTGGAAAGACTACAGACTTTCTTTGGAGACGATGATTGGCATAAAAGAAGACAAAAATGAAAGATGGCGCATAACTTGCAATTACACAAGCATTAATTGGAATGTTGGAGATCGTCTTGAGGCAACGCATAAAAACATTGAATTACTGGATGAAAAAAAGTCAAAGCATGATGGGAACTGTGTTCTCGCGGAATATGTTGAAATTCGTGGAGCTTCGTGCAGCCGTTGCAACATCAGCATTTTTCAAAAGGAAAGCTGGATTCTTCATATTGATTCAACATTCACTTCTTGTGGTCGGTTTTGGAACGGAATTCCATGTGATAATGGATATGGTGAGGACAATTTTGGTAATTACATTTGCGTAAATCCTAAACACAATTGCACATCGTCGAACAAAGCCACCACACAATTGTGGTTTGGCAATGAATGATATATGCATGAAACTGTAAGTTCTTGTATATACAATGTCCAATTTGGCAATTATTAGCACAGAACTTTACGAAGAGATCATAGAATGTTTTCAGCTATTCCTTTAAAATCTTTATATTTTTATAAGTAAGTTAAGCATCAAGAAATCAAGTTATTTATACAAATAAGTTTTTGACTTCTTTTGATTCATATATTCGGTACACCGCCCAATCGATCTGATGAATGGCAATCGAAAAGATTTGATGAAAACAACAGTTGTATTTAATTAAAAATTTTTTTCTTTGTAAAAACATTTCAGACTTAATTATAAGTAACTTCTTTGCTTGTAACACACGTAAAACATAATTTTAATAGCTACTGTACGTAATTAAAAAGATTAATGCAAAAACGTAAGTAAAATATGAAGCGCAATAGACTTGTATGTAGATTACCACTGCTATCGACTTAAAATACTTTCACTTGTTTCTTTTTTGCAATCTTTCTCAGTTTATCACAGTACTGTGCTCTATGCAGACTCTCCGAATTGTTTCAAATTTGGAAGGTATGTTACCAAAAGATTGTAATGCCATCTTGAACTCTTATTCAAATTTCATTTCTGTCAATCTTGGCAAATCAAAGAGATAGTTAACAAATTGTAGCATATTGCTGCGTCAGCCAACTTTAACTGACGTGATTGGAATTGAATATAAACCTCAATAATCCTGCTCTGTGTATGGAAACTAAAAGCTATTCGATGATACCGTTGTTGTAATGTTGAAGAGTTGAAGTTTCATTGTTTACTTTGAACTGGTTTTTACGGTCTCTAGGATCCATTGACGATGATGTTAAGTCTCTTCTTATGACTAGACTAGCAATTTTATGCCTTACTAACCAATCGTTATCATCTTCATCATTATCACTGTTATAACCCCAATTATTTGCTGTAGTTTACTTTTCTTTCAGCTGAGCATTAGGATCATTTATCTTTACTCCCCTCGTACATTCTTCTCCAATCTCATGTTATCGTATTATGAAGAGTTTTGTCCAGGGCCTTTTTGTTGTGAATTTTGTCAGTGAGAGAGGGTAAGCGGATTGACAAAATGGGTCGAGTGTAATGACGGGCTAGGACAATATATGTATTTCTATATAATACAGGTACTATAAGATGTATAGAAATATTCATACTAAAATTATTTAAGATATTAATTATTCCCATTGTTCTCTTATTCCATAGAATACAAACAAAACAAACCACCTTGATTGAAAAAGCTCTCGAGCTAACAAGTTTACAATATTTTACAATAAATGTTTTTTTGTTGTGAGGGCTGCTTCAAAAACCTCTTAAAATAAAATCTTTTTACTTGTACGTGCCGACAGTTGGCAAATTCATTCTTTAGTCTTTAGTAAGCATGAATTTCTGAACAGCAGGCCGTTGATCGTAATGATGTGAGGCGATATCCCACAAAAAGCTGTCTAGAATTCTGTAACTGGTTGCTAGGTCCCTACCTTAACAGAAAGAAGTGCCGAACACCATAACTTGGAGGGATATTTCATCTGCAGTTTTCATTGAATCAAAACTTTCAAACACTGTATTTAGAAACTTTTCTGTCAGTTATATTACAAGACGCTACTAGGAAAAGAGATGCATTAAGATAACTCCACTGCAATGTTGGCTTTTGTTATGTTGATTACATATTTTATAACTTCATTTTGTTTAGCATTGACTCGAGACTAAAACACAAAGATGGGGAAAAGTTCATTTAGATACGAATGAGTGTCTATCCTCGGAAAATGAAGTCAATAATTATTGTAGTTTTCAAATATTCTTTGTCCAATTTTCCATCTTGAACGTTAAGTGAATTACTTGCATTTTCTATACTAAATGTGGATAAAGAACAGGAACTTTCCTCAAACTTGTTCGATTACTTTTTTAAATAGATTGGTAAATTTTGAAACGGTATCTTTGTTTCATATTTTGAGGAAGCGTTGCAACTCCTATCCATGCCAAAATGTTATCGTCAACATGATTTACGCTTCTGTTTGAACGAAGAAAACATCGTTTAACAAACACTTGAACACCAGAAATGTGTTATGCTGTTTAATCAACTGCTAACAAAGTTTATAAACATGACGAAACATGTTTTTTAAACAACACGAAATGAAGTGGCTTAACGGGAAAATGTTTTAACAAAAAGTGCTTTCAATTTTTTGTGCGATTAAACATTTACCGTTTGATCAGGAATTTACATTGCATAAATGTCATCCAGAAAAGAAATTGTCAAATTAACGTCTGTTGTATATACTTTTCAGATAATGACGTCATGTTTGTTGGTGAGTTGGACTTCTTTTATTTCTCGGATGTCTTGTTAAAGACAGCACTCGATTCGGAACTGAACTCAGGCGAGTGTCACATGTTCCTTCGCTTGACGTGATATGATTCTCAAAAATGTACATTACTTATTTGAGTCATAAATCCCTGTCTACACGAATCAGCATAAATCTCAAAACGCAAAAATTATTTTACGGATATACGTTCCATTCACACATATCCATGTAAAACACCCACACAAACCGTAAACTTTAGAAAACGCCTTCCAGAGTGTAATTTTTTGAAAACTGAACAAAATTAGTCTCGTGCGTAAGGATAAAACTGTAAAAATATAAAAATTATGGCGTTTTAACTATGAACCAGTTTGGTGTTCGCATTTATTGTTTTTAAACATGGCGTAAGCGCGGAAGGTTGTTGTGTGTCCGGCTTTATATTACGATCTTGAATTCTCACGCAGATTACATTCAGGGTCGTATGAATATTATTCTCCAGCTGTGTTATCTTGTACGGGAAGGGTAATTGTCAAGCGGTTTGGCAAGAAGCGTCAAAGGAGAAAGCGAAAATTTTAGATCCGACCTGGACGAACAATGCTTGGTGTAACGGTTTCCCATTAGCGAACTAGTTGTTCCAGAAGAATGGAGGAAAAATTTCTTAACAGTTTTCTCTAAATCCTTATCTGCAATCCACTTCAGCTCCTCTTCAGCAGTTACTCTAAACAATCTTCTTCTCTTAGTGTACTCTCACCTACTCTAAGCAGACTAGTAATATTTGTCGAAAGAAAGGAAAGTTTTCTTAAAAATTCTATTTGGTCTTTTTCAGTGTGGACGCCATTCTTACAAAAACGTTTAATTGACATTTATAGTAGAAGCAGGAATTAGAGCTTAAAAATAACCGACTTGTGGTCCTTTTTAAGGATATCACTGCTTCGAGCTTCTAATATGATCTCTAAACGTGTTAAGGAGGCTTTGATTCTGGTATTTTGTTTCTACCACGTGATAATAAGGCTAAGATGAAAAAAACAATTAAAATTCTTTAAGATTAAAATTCTTAGGCAGTGTCGGTGCAATTGTAACTATTCAGAGTGTGAAAATATTTACATCTGCCCCATGAAAGCTACGGGATTTTCACTTTGCTTGGAAGACTGATCACGTGACTATAAAAGATTTGCTCGATACTTGCTTTGCTTTGCCAATTTTCACATTCCGAAAACAATTCTTCGTCTAGAATAATGCTATATTTTTCACAAATTGTTAAAATGTACAAAAAGTAATGTGTCTTTAGACTTTTTTTGTAATGGAAATACATTGCGTATGCAAAATAAAATTAATTTGCAACAGTGACGCCTGTCTGTTGTCGGAAACTTCACAAAAATTCTTACAGCTATTTAGAAGCCGTGGAAGGTTCTTAATTGAGGGTTGGAATTGTTCATATATGCTTGTTTTACTTAATTAGCTTCTATTGAAATCAGTTGTTTTGATGGATTAACGCAGGTTAAAACATAATATATAAATGTTGCTCCCACTCCAGACACCCACCCCACCCCCAATTATCACTCCTGCGCGGCCACTTCGATTGTGTTGGTAAAAATACATTCATAAATATATTTATGTGTTTGTCAATATAGTTCATCCAGGTTGGTAGATTCCTAAAAACGGATTGTTGAAATTGATGTTGACTCACGTTTTGACAACCTTAGACATCAGTAGACATCTTCAAAGTCAAATGAGGAGTAACTATAAAATAAACTAGCGAGCTAGCCTAATGATTTCGAGGAATTGAAAGGAGCTAAAACTCAAAGCTTAAAAAGTACAACTGTTTACAAAGCGCCACACGTCATTCCGGCTGTAAGCCTCAAATAAGGGCAATTTAGTTGTTTTATTTTTAAATGTTTTGCTTAGTTATTAAATCAAAATATTGTGAAATTACTTGAGAAGATTTTTCTAGTGATGAGTATTGAATATTTTCCATTTGCCAAAATCATTTAACGCTTGTTAGAGCGAGTGCTGTACAAGTTTTACGGTATCAAGCATTATAAAAGAAGCACAATAAAACGTATGCTTTGATTGGTTAATAGCCATGTTTGCAACAAACCGTTCTGCAATCAATCAATCAAATCGATCTGTCAATCAAAGAGAATTTTCACATAAATTATGAATACATTTTAAAGTAACATTAAAACCTCATTAATCTGTATGTTTGCTTGCTTGCCTATATGACTTGACTCTTCTTGTTTAAAAGTGCATACTTTATTTTACAGAAATTAAAATATTTATATTTTTTATTATTTATCAGGATGCACGGTTACACATTGTATGGTTTGTTATGTATAGAATCACCAGAATGCTCAATCCTGTAACGCTGAGCTATATAAATATATGAGTTAGAAGAATAAAAAGGAGTTTTTGGCGTAATTATTATTGCCGTGATATACTGAAGCCATATAGGATTTGTTAATTTTTACTGTGTTGTTATTCATAATGGCATCCGAACTCATTACTGTTGGTAAGTGTTACTTCTGATCACAGGACTCTAGTGTTACCATGAAATTATTAAGTAATTAAAGTATACAAATTCAAAATATTTCTGTTTTATGTGAAATATTTCAAGCATAAAACTTTGGTAAGTTTTGCTTCAGCTCTTTAAATAGTGCATGTAATATAATAAGATTACGTCATTTGATCTATAAAAGATTTTATATGTGATCTCATGGTTATTTTCCTTTATCATAAAACACCTTTTACAAGTATACTAAATTCGGTACTTCTCTGATAGTAGTGCTCGATTCGAATCAAGTGACCACTTGGTAAAAAATTTACTCTGCGATATTTAATATCGTGTTAATAATTCAATGCATCCAAATTTACATTTAAAAACTTCACAATGTGATTCATTTCTATTAAAAGTTTGTGAAAAGTGTCATGGTAAGGGATGCATAACGCCTTATTTAAGCAAAACACAAAAATCGCTTCTTAGGAAACTATGCTCTACTAACTGCCGTTTCGACAAAATTGAAGAGGTATAATTACAAGAGAGTATAAGTAGCGTAGCGCTCATCATGTGTAGTAAGTTCAAGAACTAAGGGCACAATATTGTTTGATTTGTC